GGGGTATTGGGCTCTCTGGGTTGCACACTCGCATCCTGAGGTCCAGCTGCGAAGAACCGGTAGCGCTGCCGTACTCTGACATAGTGACCGGAGTCATGAACGGGTAATATAAGGGCCTTAATAGTTNNTTAGAATAGGGTTCTGAGGCCCTTTATGGTATATATCTGTAATGAGGAACCCCCAAAATACTGCAAGATAGGGAACTATTTAGGCCCCTATAATTAGTAGGTAACTTTGCCTCTCCAGCTGGGGTTGCTCTGGACCGGCCAGGGTTTAGGGGCTCTCCATGCCATGTCAGTTGTGCACGCAAAACATCCTTCAGGCTGCACGGGGAGTAGCAGTTCAGGGGTGTGCTGGAGTCCATCCCAACCAGGACTTATACGTGCAAAGCTTCAAACGAGAAGCTGCATTCGGATGCGAGGCTTCGCTTCGGAATCTGGGGCTACAATGTCCAGGGAGTCTGGGCTTACCAGATTTCCCCAAAAAAGCACGTGGGACCCAAAGTTTGGCTCTTCATGTCCCCATGATTTGGCCCAGCATCCGCCAAATCACGATGCTTCTTGCAGTGCTCATAAAACTCCTGGGATGTCATGTCGGACGGAAGGACCTCAGCTTTGCGCTCAAGCCCTCTTTCGGTCCGGCCTGCTTCTCTGGGTCTTCAGCTTGTTCCCAGTAGGACTATACACGTCCTTTGCTTTCAGACAAGTCGCTCGCGCGCTACGGGGTGCCTTCTTCGCTCTGGCCGAGTTCAGTGACACGGACCGGACCTCCAAAGGCACGTGGAAGGGACCCCGAAATCACTCCGCTTTTGTGGGTCGATACAAAGTAATGCAGACCCTGGTGAATACATTGAAATAATCCCTTTCTCAGCCTAGTAACCAGGGGTCTACATTACCTGTAACTTCATCATCCGTTCGAAATCGCCAGGGGTTGAAGCAGGCTTTTGCTTAAAACTGTCACTCTGGGGCTTTGGTGGGATCGAAGCCCTGAAACAAAGGGCACGAGATGCGAAAGCGCTCGCAAAGAACAACACCGAACCAATACGTCTTGAGAGGTGAAAGATCGACTTAATAAGCATTATGATGATCTTTAACATGAGGGAGTTTATCAGTGAGCGTCCACATTAATCAGAACAGCCTGCAAGCAAGCTCAAGAGGCCAACAGCAAAGCACCATCAAACTCGACAGATTGCACTTCTTGCGAGCCCTGGAGATTCCGCACGAGATTCCCTTTAGAATCTCTGGATCTCCGCTCCAGCACCGGCTTGGTGTCACGGACAGCAAGTGCTTTTACATCCGCAAAATCACGCAAAAATGGGTAGGAGCGGCGGTGATCCATCGTAGTTTTCTGCGTTTCCTGAATGCAGAAGACTAGAAAGGTGNNGTGTGTGTGTGTGTGTGCATTTTGGCTCTGGTCTCTTGCAACCTGCGGGGCCCTTGTGCGACGGTTGCAAACAGCCCGCGTACACTCGGCAGCCCCGTGCGTCTATTGCCATTCTATCAAATAAAGGCTCAGTGCCCCCCCCTCCCACCTCCTTACAGCTCTGTCTGAAGATCTCTCCCTCTCTCTCTCTGCCCTCTCTGTCGCACCGAATCGCCTCGCCTACCGTTGCTATAATTATAAGCACACCTCCTGTCGGTTTTGCTTTGACTGTTGACTGACACAGCAAACCTAGTCGGAAGCACAGGCCTTGCTAGTGCACTCTTCCCGGCTGGAACTCCTCCAAAGGGCACCAGTTCTGATGGCGAACAAATAGTCTGAAGCTAGATTGCCAAACTGACGTTGAGCATCCCAGGCACTCCCATGCAGTGCACATGCTGGCTGTTGTTACCAGTGCTTGCTTTTTCCTGCTCTAGCTAGCGATGGCTTCGGACAGTCGCTCCATGCCCTTGCAAACCTAAGGTTGCTGTCCTTTACGTTTAGCTGAGGGCTTAATATCTGCAGAGGCCTTGGATGCTACTTGGCCGCAACGCTATTTCCTGTTCACATTGCGATCGAAGTTGCCATCAACCGTGCGAAAGATAACTCGTGTGGTTGGAAGAATGAGTTCGAGCATCCTCCTCCTCCTGCTACTACTACT